GCCCCGTCCCCGGCCCCGGCGCGGCCCTGGGGGCGGATGCTTGGATGTGGATTTCGCTGTGGGTCCACCAGGCTGTTCCCACGTGAACAGCTTTAAGGTGGGAGAGAACTGGAGGCAGGGATTGCGGGTGATCTACCAGTGCTTCGTGTGGTGTAGAACCCCGGAGACCAGGAAAAGCAAGGCAAAGTCGTGCATCTGCCATGTGTGTGGCACCCACCTGAACAGACTCCACTCTTGCCTTTCCTGTGTCTTCTTTGGCTGCTTCACGGAGAAACACATTCATGAGCACGCCCAGACGAAACAACACAACTTAGCTGTAGACCTTTACTATGGAGGTATATACTGCTTTATGTGTAAGGACTATGTATATGACAAAGACATTGAGCAAATTGCCAAAGAAGAGCAAGGAGAAGCCTTGAAATTACAAGCTTCCACCTCAACTGAGGTTTCTTACCAGCAGTGTTCAGTGCCTGGCCTCGGGGAGAAGTACCCAACCTGGGAGACAACCAAACCCGAGTTAGAACTGCTGGGACACAACCCGAGGAGAAGAAGAATCACCTCCAGCTTCACCATCGGTTTAAGAGGACTAATCAATCTTGGCAACACGTGCTTTATGAACTGCATCGTCCAAGCCCTTACCCACACTCCCATCTTGAGAGATTTCTTTCTCTCTGACAGGCACAGATGTGAAATGCCAAGTCCGGAGTTGTGTCTGGTCTGTGAGATGTCTTCACTTTTTCGGGAGTTGTATTCTGGAAACCCTTCTCCTCATGTTCCCTATAAATTACTGCACCTGGTATGGATACACGCACGTCATTTAGCAGGGTACAGGCAACAGGATGCCCACGAGTTTCTCATTGCAGCGCTAGATGTCCTGCACCGGCACTGCAAAGGTGATGATGTTGGGAAGGCTGCCAACAATCCCAACCATTGTAACTGCATCATAGACCAAATCTTCACAGGTGGCCTGCAGTCCGATGTCACCTGTCAAGCCTGCCATGGTGTCTCCACCACGATAGACCCATGCTGGGACATCAGTTTGGACTTGCCTGGTTCTTGCACCTCCTTCTGGCCCATGAGCCCAGGGAGGGAGAGCAGTGTGAATGGAGAAAGCCACATACCAGGAACCACCACGCTCACAGACTGCTTGCGAAGGTTTACAAGGCCAGAGCACCTAGGAAGCAGTGCCAAAATCAAGTGCGGTAGTTGTCAAAGTTACCAGGAATCTACCAAACAGCTCATGATGAATAAGTTACCTGTTGTTGCCTGTTTTCATTTCAAACGATTCGAACACTCGGCTAAACAGAGGCGCAAGATCACTACTTATATATCCTTTCCTCTGGAACTGGATATGACACCATTTATGGCCTCGAGTAAAGAGAGCAGGATGAATGGACAGTTGCAGCTGCCAACCAGTAGTGGAAACGATGAGAATAAGTATTCCTTGTTTGCTGTGGTTAATCACCAAGGGACTTTGGAGAGTGGCCACTACACCAGCTTCATCCGGCACCACAAGGACCAGTGGTTCAAGTGTGATGATGCTGTTATCACCAAGGCCAGTATTAAGGACGTTCTAGACAGTGAAGGGTATTTACTGTTCTATCACAAACAGGTCCCGGAACATGAATCAGAAAAAGTAAAAGAAATGAATACACAAGCCTACTGAAGTGACACACAGACCTACCTGAAATGGAAGATGACAACACCTATGCTACAACTGGCATTGAGATTTAAAGGACTACTTGTGTGGCCCATGGGCCTGACAGAGTAAGAATTGAATAGTACCCAGTGTCTAAGAGGTCCTGATTGGAAAAGAAGTAGGAGGGGGCGGGAGAAGAGGCTCTAGTCTAAACAATAAAACACTGAGCAAAATATTTCAACAGACACTTAAACATCTTTCTCCATGGGTGTTTCAGCTTCAACTGACCAATCATAACAGTTCTATGTTTGGGGGGAAAATGAAAAGTTTATACAAATGTAACCCATTACATACATGGGTATGAAAGCAGAAAAGTGGAGGAGGCAGGGATATCTCATTGACAAACACCTTTGCCAGTTTCTTTGTATTCGTGATTTTTTGTGCTATTAAATGCAGTATTAAAAAAAAGAAAGCCCATGAGGGCTAGTGAAAAGAGAAGAAAGAAGGGAGCTTGTATAAGGGGAGCCATGGCTCCAGTAGAGGAGGAAACAAGAAATACTGTAAGATAAGCAACCAACACAGACAGTCCTCAGCTAAGAGTATTGTGAATGAGTGTTTTTTTAACAAAGCTGTATGATATACTTGAGCAAATCAATGAACCTCTTTTCAATTGTTTTCTCATCTGTACAATGCAGATAATTCCTACCTTAAAGGGTTATTGTTAAAGAGTAAATGATATAAAATGTGTCAAAGTATAAAGTAAAAGGCTTGGAACTTCATAGGGGCTCAGTAAACGTTTCTTGGATCTAAAACTTCCTTGGACTAGGACCAGAATGCATCAGAGGTGAGTGTCAGTCCTACCTGAGAACCATGAACAACATGGGCACACATCGTGTTACATGCAGTTACACACACACACACACACACACACACACACACACACACGCTTACAACTCCCTCTACAACACTGACTACTTAGAGCCCCAAGGCAAAGGACTCCACTATTGTCCCTGTGTAGAGGCATCACAATCAGTGCCATACCCAGGATTTGGGGAGAACCAAAACTGTCCTCAAAAGTCATTATTCTGTCCATTTAGAAGACTGCTGTCTTGTTTTCATGACTCAGCACCCCAGTGATAGGACTCGTAGGCCACTTGCCTGCCAGGTTTCCACATAAAGATGTTTGGTGGTTTTTACCTTCCACAAGCATTATGGATGTATCTTTACATTAACCTACAGGCATACATCACTATTAAGACTGTTCTCCAAAACTTACTGGTCCATCAGCCCAGGGACATCAATGGAGTGGCATGTTGACCTCTTCCCTGATTCTCACAGAGGGCAGAACAGCTTGCAAAGAGCTAAGCCAAAACAGTTGAGCTGCACCCAGGTTGGGGTAAGCACTGGTGGTTCCTTCTTTTCTTCTCAACAGGAGATACAAAGGTATCTATAACCTAGGAAATCCTGGGGGGAAACTAAATGTGCATCAGACTCATGGGGCTTGGATCTACTGGCTCTGATAAAAGGCTGGGATCCCCCAGGGATTTCCAAGTCTACTTCATGGTCAACTCATTTGGAAATAGACATTTACATCTCCAACTAGCTCATAGGCTTTTTAAAGACAGGGCTGTGTCTCCTCTTATATCCTGAGCTGCATCCTCAGCCCCTAGCACAGTTCCTGACACATAGTAGATATTCAAAACATTTACTGGATGGATGAAGGAACCAATACACCTTCCTTTCATAACCACATTTTCACCAACATCCAGGCCCATAATCCTCAGGAGAAATTGTAAAAAGTGGTATTTTTGGTATCTTAAAGGACAGGGGAAATCAAGAGATGAGTGGCCTTGGATGCCACTTGGTAACTTAATGCCAGGTATTTGACTGCTTTTTAAGGTGTGTCGAGTAGCCCTCATTCCTCATCTCTGCCAAAGGAAGAGTTCAGTCAGGCATGTGCCACCAGATTTTGACTGCTTGCACAGAAATGGTCGTTTACATTTTAAAAACATTTTTATTTGGAAATATTTTAAATTTACAGGAAAGTTTCAAAAATAAAAATAGTATAAAGAATATCTGTATCCCCTTTACCAAATTCACCAATTACTAACATTTTACATCATTTGCTTTATAGTTTGTCCTTATGCTCGTGCCTTCTCTCTCCCTTTCTCCCTCTCTCTCTATCTCTCTCTCCCCCACCCCCAGTGTGTATGTGTATGTGTGTGTTTGAACCATATGAGGGTAAATTATATACATCATAGCCCTTCATGCCTAAGTATTTCAGTGTGCATTTCCTAAGAATAGGCATATTCTCTACATTGCAGCATAGTTAACAACTTCAGTATTTTTAACACTAATACAATGTTATTATCCAATTTACCATTTGTACTCCAATTTTGTCAGTTGAGACAATAATGTCCTTTATACCCTTTCCCTCTCCATCGCAGAATCTGCTCTAGGTTGAGGTATTGCTTTTATTGAATTTATTAGGGGTGACATTGGTTAATAAAATTATATAGGTTTCAGGGGTACAATTCTATAATACATCATCTGTATATTGTATTTTGTGTTCACCACCCCAAAGTGAGGTATTGCTTTTAGTTATCATGTCTTTTTAGCCTCCTTTAATCTGGAACATTTCCACAACCATTCTTCATCTTGTATGACATTAGCATTTTTAACAGAACATTCCTCATTTTGGGTTTATCTGATTCAGAAACTGTTTTTTAAATACCCTGCACTCAGGAATAGTTCTAAGAGATATGAACAGTACCAAACTGCTGAAGCTGACCACCGCCCCCCCCCCCCTCTGGTGGAAGGCACAGACCAGAGGGAGCAGCTGTTCCTGCCACTTCCTGATTGAAGCACACACCTCTGGAAAACACCATTCATTGTCCCTCAGTAACAGGGGAGCCATTCAAGCCCAGCTCTATTCTTCTACCTATCACCAACCCCCCAAATTGAGCCATGGAGCCTAAAAGCAGCCAGAGCCTGCTTTCAGATCATACCACTGTGGGACACAGGACATTATGTATTCAGAAGGTATGTGTTACCTTGAGCTCAAATGGAGATTCAGGCATGTTTGAACATGGCTGGCATATGGGTGGGCACCTCTATGGTTGGGGCCTTTAGGGGGGGATCAAGAAGTACATCTCTTGGCACCTTTATCAACATTCCCATGGTGGGCACAGTTTCAGTGGATGGGAGCAGAGGAGGAATAAGTACTTCTGAAGCAGCTTTATGGGCAGAGTAATGAAGATGGGGTCTAGAATTAGTAAGGGAGAACACAGAAGATGCCAAAAATAGATTGGCTTGTGATCTTACGGGGGGCTTTCAGACATAATTTGGCTATTTTACATGGCTGCAATTGTATTTGAATTCCAAATGTCGGCAAGGGCTGGTGTAATTTAAGCTAATTCTTTAACTGAGACTCCATCTACTTTCACAAGCTGGTAAGGTCAGGAAAACTAAGTTTACATGTAGGTTTATGATCTGGGCCCAGAAGGGCACAGAAAAAGATGGGTGCTCACAAGTTGGGGACTTACCCACCTATGGAGCTCAGAATGAGGGACCAAGTAGTGGGGTGCTTCCCTTTTACCCATGACACCTGCTTTATATGGTTTCTTGGCCTAACCAGCTTGAAAATCCAGAACCCTGCCACCTCCCATTCCCTGGAGTAGCCTGATGCTAAAACTTACCCTGGCCCACAGTTCACTTCTTCCCCATCCGTAGGACATCCAGATCAGGGATGTCTTTTTCAAGCAAGAAACAGAGTGGTCCCCATGTAGTTCATATTGTCATAATGCAATAGACTTGGTGCCAGGAACCTGTGTTTGCACCAAATATATAGTCACATCTAGATGTGAAGGCTCAGGTCCTCTGAGAGTGTGAAACCCAGCATCCATAGCAGCGTGTCCTTCCTTTGCAGGCAACCCAATACCATTTTGAAGCTCTTGTATTGAAATATATCAAATATAGTATATAAGAAGTGCACATATCATAAGGGTACAACTTGATGAATTTCTAGAAAATAAAAACACATCCATTTAAACAATATTCAGATCAAGAAACAGAACACTACATGTACGCCAGGTACCCCTCCTGCCTCCGTCCAGTCAATAATTCCTATCCAGACTTCTTCCACTGTAGATGAGCATGACCCTTTTTATGGCTTCTATGAATAAAATTATTCAGTATGTATACTTTTATGCCTAAACTTTTGCTCAACATTATTTTATGAGGTTCAGATGTGAAGTCTTTTTATCAAGAATAATTATGAGGAGCATCACTAATTCTGCCAAATGAATTAATTTTTTCCCTACTTTTCCTAATGATTTCTGACATACTGAACCAATTCAAATGGACCCAGGTCATTGCAAAGTTGGACTTCAAGAATGTCTATAATCTCACTCAGGTACAGTAAAGAAGATAGATGCTTGTTTTTAACAAACTCATAGATACAGACAACCAGAGGGGAAGGGGGTCGGGGGAGGTAGAAGATGGTAAAGGGGAATAAATGATGATGGAAGGAAGCGTGACTTTGGATGGTGAACACACAATACAATATACAGATGATGTAGAATTGTACACTTGAAACCTATATAATTTTATTAATCAATGTCACCTCAATAAATTCAATTCAATAAGAAATCCACAAAATGAAAAAAGAAAATGGTGAATGGAAAAGAGCCTTACAGTTAAGTGTGTGATAATTTAAGTAACTAGAAATTTCAATTTTCGGCTGTATTCTGTCCAGTAATCTATGTTGAACCCCATCCCTTTTCCAACATATCCCGAATGGGATACTCTATTTGAATAACTTGTCAAACGTGTTTCACAGTCACCTGGAGGGCTTGTTAATACACAGGTTGCTGGGTCCCACCTTCAGAATTCCTGATTTCAGTAGATCTGGGACAGGGGCTTGAAAATTTACATTTCTAACACTTCTGGTTCTGGGACCACACTTTGAGAATCACTGATCTATTCAATTTGTTTTCACACCATGGTACTTGGAGTCCATGGAGTCCATGAAGATGCTCTGGGGAGCACCTTGGAGAGGACCTTGGGGAGCAAGGGGGAAGGTAAATTGGTGAATATCAGGAACTCAGCCCCACTTCACCTGGAGCAGATCCTCAAGTAGGGGCTTGGAGATTCCAAATGATATTTGAAGTAAAGGTTCTGCTACTAAAATTTTTTACTAGTAAAAGCTGAAAATC